GCGGCCAAGAATAGCCAGGCATTTTTCGACATGAATTAGGGGTTAAGAAGCTATTTCCATAGATCATTACAATTAACTAAATTCTGCCACTTAATTATATTTTTAGTCAAAGTAAACCAATAGGATAATACACAAATTGACTTGTAAACTGAAAATCACCAAACTTGTCAATTACATGCAAACGGGTAAAGGGATGTATTCTTTAAAGTATATTTTATATACTTCTTGTTTAAATGATCCATTTTTCACTTATTGCATACATATTTTTCAGACCTCTTAACAAAGATGACAAGAAAAGAATTTCGTCGAATTTACTTTATAAATTTAATCCTGGTCGTAGTGCAGCTCAGATTGCTCTAAACATTAATAAAGTTTGAAGAAAGGATCTTTTAACAAATGCACAATGCAACGTTGGTTTCATAAATTTTGTCATAGTGAAGCCAGCCTAAGATAAGAAAGGTTGTGAATTGCAGCCTTCTATTGAAGATGAGAGATTGAAAACATCAGTGGATGCCAATCCTTGAACTACTACTTAAGAGCTTGCAAAAGAGCTGGGTACTGGTATCGGATCAGTTTCTAAACATTTGAACAAAATTGTTAAGTCTAAGAAGTTGGAGAGATGGGTACCACACGACTTGAATGACGAACCAAAATACTCGTCATTATGAAGTATGTTCGGCTCCTCGTTTACAAAAAAAAAAAAAAAAAAAAAAGACCTATTTCTCCATTGCACACGTGATACAAAATAGATCCTACATGGGAACTGACAACGTTCTGGACAATCGTTGAATCGAAAGGAAACTCCTAAAGACTTCCCAAAGCCGAAATTCTACCAAAATAAAGTTATGGTGACTGTTTGGTGAAACAGATGAGAAGCATTGCCAAGAAAACGATCAAATCCATCGGAAATGTTCGAATATGTAATGAGTACTAGTCAAAGAGAGAAAAGGTCCAAACTTTTTGCACGATCATGCTCGGCCACACGTTGCAGGATTAATGTTACAGAAATTGAATGAATTGGGTTATGAAATTTTGCCTCATCCACCGTACTCACCTGTCCTCTTGCCAATTGATTATCACCTTTTCAAACATTTGGACTTCTTATAAGGAAATGTTTTTAACGATTTTTTGAACAAATAAGATACGATTCAGTTACTGTCCAAAATACCTTCGAAGATTTTGCTGCCTCCTAAATGTCTAACTTAATGGAATAATTACACTTGTTTCTTAATTAAAATGTTCTACAAAACATTTGTGTCTTCCCTTGTGATTAGTTCACAATGCAAATAAATTAATTTATATAACAATTTAAAAATATTTACAAATCAGTACAATTGCTTTTTACTTTCTTTTTTTCCATCTATGTACCGGAATATTTTTGTCAGAAATAAAATTATTTTCTTAATAAAAAGGAAAAGAAGAAAAAAAAAAAAACATATCGTTAAAAAATCTGTTTTCATACACATTTTAAAGTATATTGTAATCAAATTGATCTGTAACTTTTTGGTGTACTAGAGTTATCTCCCTTGCACTCGTGACGTCTTTAACATTTTTAGAGGTAAAATTTTCTCCTTGATACTGGAAACACAAAGTGGAGGTGTCTTTGTTATGAACTAAACTATAATGGACTATTCCAAAGTGTTGAAGTCGAGTGATGAAAGGCCAAAGCAGAGTAAAACAATAATTGACAAAAAAGAAAATTAAATACGGCACTTCTACAGGCATGGGTGAAGTCATTTAAATCGTATCCTTCCCCACCACATCTAAACAGTGGAACAGTCATTTCTGTTGAACTCTTTGCCTGGGCAGAGAGGAACTCGGACAGAATCTTTGCCGCAGGCAAGGCTTTCATATGGGGTTTGGCGGATTTGCCAGACTGTGAACGGTGTGGTCTTGGCTTAGAGGAAACGGCTTCGCACGCCTTCTACCATTGCCCCCGGGTCCGCCCCTTATGGGACCATGTCGGCGAGCTGACGGCTCGTCTCGCTCCCGAACAGCTTGTGTCCATTGATCGCGCATACGCGTGTGACAATGTGTCGCCCCCGTATTCCGGGGAGAAACGAATGGTGTTTCTGATGCTGATGGCCACGGCTCGAATGGTGATTTGGACGACGCGAATGGAGGAAGTCTTGCGGGGCAACCGTCTTTCTTATCAGCATCTGATCCAATTCTTTAAGCATCAGCTCAAGATGAAGATTAGATCTGATAGAAAGCGATTGCATTCGACAGTCTTCAGCGAAAGGTGGGTAAAAGAGGCGAGCTTGGTTCGTGTGACCGGGGCTAGCCTTGATTTTCTTTTCTAAGTCAACCTACAGCACATCGGGGTGGCTTCCTGTGGAACCCTCCCCTTGGTTAGGTTAGACAAGCTTCAGTGTACCTAGTTAAGGTGAGCAAGTGTTGTTCCTGGCCTGTATCCCGGCTGCTCTTTGGTTATGGTCCAAGTCGAGATTCCCAACCTCCCCAGTTTGTTTTGGCCCCACTTTTTCATCTCGACTGGGTCAGCTTTTACATTTTCCCATTCCGGCATAATATTTTCTCCTTTCCCACTCCCTTAGCGAGAGCGTCTCTTGATTCTGTCCCCTGGGCAGAATACAGCGGCCTCTGTTTTGAGGGTTGGACGGTCCCTACTAACATGTGTTATGTTTAGTTTGTATTTTGTGTTATTTTTATTTGTTATTGGGTTCATTTCCTCCCCTTGCATCCTATCATTATTAGATTTTTAAGTATATCATTTATGTATCATCAAATTTTTATGATTTAGGGGAGCGTTTTATAGGTCCCCTGGTGAGAATCAGGTATTATGGTGCATGAAGGATTGATTGGTGACGGATGAGTTCTTGTGGTGAATGAGTAAATTGTAATGTATGAATGGGTCGTGAGTCAGATTAGCTAGGTATAAGATAGTTAGTGTTGACCAGCCTTTTCCCCCTCCCCTTTTTTGGCCTTGTGCCGCAATTGTAACCTTTGTTGCAATAAATCCTCAGAATCTTTGCCGCAGGGCAAAGTTTCGTCCGGGGAGGTAGACAGTCCCTGAACCCGTTTAGGCGGGTTCAAAGGGGATATTTTTGGCTCGGAGAAACACGTTAAACTAGGCATTATTGTGCCTCGTACATTCCTTGTGGAGGGACTGTTAAATATAACAGTGGAACGGTGTTCCAAACAGTTAATTACTGTTAAACTCTCTCTCTCTCTCTCTGTGCTTCGGCAAAGAGGGACCTGGACGAGACTGACGAAGGGCAAAATTTCTTCCGAGGAGGTAGACAGGTCCTGAACCCGTTTATACCACGATAAACTCGGCCTTGTGCCACATACGACCCACGTGGGTGGGGGTTAAATATAGCAGTGAGAGCGGTTTTCTAGATCCAGCATTCACAAAGTAAGGGTTTTTTTTTATTATTATTATATATTTTACATTTATGGGAATAAATTTTACTCAGTTTCGGTAAGAAACTAGATTTCAAGTTATAAAAGGTAAGAGCAGTGTACAATTCATACGATCGTACGTAAACCAATATGTTTAGTTTGTTTTACGGCATATCAACCTCCATGGGTTATTTAATGCCAACAATTTTTATTTCTGGTAATATTTTTTTCTTCAGAAATGTATTGCTGGTAATAAATATTTTTTTTTTACAAAGTATTTCTGGTATTAAAACCTATTTTTACATTTTTATAGTGTTTTGACCCTAACAGGTGCTACCACCCCGGGTCAGGGTGGACCTGGGAACACCAGCAATTAAGAGGCGGTTCCACGCCCCTCAAAACCTCCTGATCAGAGACCTTGCTGCTGGACGTAGTTTATCGTCGTACCCAGGACGGATAAACTAATATGAAAAAAAATCGAGTTGGTAATGAAAAAATGTGATTAAACCGTAACCAAATAATTTTCTACTAAAGCAACAGTTTCAATTTGCAAGCTAATCTGTGTAGTTGAAACTATTTTTGCTCTACAAGGATGATCTTTATATATAAAAAAAATGCGCAAACAATTTCAATAAGTGAAGGTAAGGTTTTCGCGAATTTTATTTATTAATTTAAAACTTTATTAACACTGCATATTTATTCGTCACGCAACAATAATAGGAAAATATAACACATTTTTTAAATTTTGAAAGCCATTACGTTAAACTGAACAAATAAGCCTTATGCCACATCTAAGCTATGGTTAATAAACCGTTATAAGGACGCATTTTTATATAGGATATCATATAAATGATATCTGAGGCACTTGGCTGATTCAGTGTCAGTGACATTTCGAAGTGGTGTAATGATGAGCAAACATGTCTCAATAGATCAATTATGACCGAGTAGAGTTTGATCCTCACCCGGTGCGCCATTCTTTCGGCCTTGTACTGCCTCTAAGCTACATTTATTAAATCGCTTTAGAAATTGTAAGTTTCCTCCGTTATTTTCACTGACGACTCTTTGTGCAATGGGTGTCGGTGTCGTCTTGTAACGGACCTCCAGTAACCAAACTTCAATTTTATTTTCAGGTCATAATGAATTTAAAAGCCAGTACAACGTGATAACGCCGTATGAAATCAACCTAGCATTTTTTTTCTTCCTCCCAAACTACATTTTACTCTATTCTGACCGTTTTAAAAGACCCGAAAAGGAAAGACATTTTCTTTTAAATTAATAATGCATTGTGTTTATTTTCTTCATACTGCAGGTTAAAACTGGAAAGCTGATGATTATCATGTTTAGTTTAGTTTAAAGTTTGGATCGGTAAAAATTGATATATTTTTATTAGATTCATTTTCTAGTGCTTATCAACCTTTTGCAGGTTATTTAAATCCAGAAATTATTTTTAGATTGTAAGATCTTTTGAGATAATGATTTAGTGATTCAAACTTTACTTATTTTTACTAACCGATAGCTGGGGTGGGGAGAGAGGTGGATTCATATACCATTCCCTAGGGTATTTGAGCGTTAGTGAATAACGAACCGAATTGGAACTTGGCTCTTCGATTAACAATTCCCAGCCATTATCCAAGCAATTGATATTCCCGAGCGGTCACCCATTTATGTACAGACCAGGATCGATGTTGCTTAACTGTGGTGATCATACGGGAACCGGTGTTTCAACGTGATGTGGCCACAAGTCCGTTAACAATTTTACATGGGACCATATGGAAGAGAAAAAAAATGCAGCGCTATTACATTATCGCCCCCCCCAAAGTAAAACACAACCAGATGAATTTAAAATGAAAAACTTAATTTTAATTTTTTTTTTAAAGTTTAACTTCATAAAATTAATTTTTTAAAATAAGTGGGGCTGTTGCAATTATTAATAATTAAATTTAATTTACAAACATTAGCAATGGTTTTAAAAAGCTTCAATATGTGCGTTGGCTGTCAAAAGTAAAAAAAATGTCAAAGATGATATGTATTAAAATTAAAATCCACAAATTATGAAACAAATAAAAGGGAAATCTATTCATATTTTTTTCTTAAGCTAAAAAAAACAAAAACTGAAGACAAAAAACATTGTGTGGTTGACAGTGTCTTGGGGGTGCGAAAGTGTAATAGCGCCAAAAATGTGATGTATATGAAACAAAGTGGAAGGAATAATATTGTGTTGACTAATTCAGAAGCAACTGTGATATGGCTACTCCTCTACAATACACATGTATTTAGGGAAAGAGTGCTCAATATCGTGGACAGTGCATAAACATTGTGGATAGAAATCAACGACTGCATAACTTGCAGTACCACATTTACCGAAGGGTCAAAAAAAAAAAAAAATGCACCCATGATCTCGAATTATCACTTTGGTAAGAAGAGTTTTAAACACTTCGGCTAATGCTGAATTGTCTCACTTAGACTAGAGAAGATATCACATTTTTCAGATTTTCTTCGTGCTTTTTTTAAACCGTTAACGCTTTTCGATGAATAGAATACGCTAAAAATCCACGCAAGGAAACGAATATGCCTGCCTGAAAAGATTTAAAAACACAGATAATCACTCGGAAAAAAAAGGTCACTTTTTCGTACGATAATTCGGACCGCAAAAATTAAATCAGGCGGAGAGAATTACATGGTGGTTAAGTGCCACCAAAGATTCTCAAAAGAAAAAAAAAGAAAAAATGCCCCAAACTTAATAAAAACAAAGTTTTATCATCAAAATCTTCGTTATTAATAGGAAAAAAACAAAGGATGTTTTTTGTTTTTTTTTTAATTAAATTATATTTGTTAAACATTTTTAGAACCTTCGAAATTTTGGTTAAAAAAAAATTGTCTTGCGCCAACTGGATGACCACAAATGGGAAATTTTAGCGTCTTTTTGTGGTGAAAAAATCAGGTAATTGTCGGCTTCTAATTAAACTTTCAGGACTTATTCATAAATGAATAAAATTTCAGAAATTTTTTTTTTTTTTTTTTTAGAAAATCTTGCTAAAAATTATTTTTTTGCATCTGTTACACACCACTTATTTCATTTTAGGGAATTTCGAGAAACTAATTTTTAGACCGCTTAAGGACAATTTCTTGGAGAAGTTAAATCTTTTTTTTTTTTTTTTTTTGTAAAACAGGGCTCCCAGTTACAGAAACTTTGCTCTGAACCGTAAAATAAAAAAAATGCAATAAACTGAGATAATATTTAATTAGAAAAGCTTTCAATTGTTTTTAAGAATGTGCACTATTTTCTTAAAAAAAATCGCTGAATGGTTAATTTTTACTATTATTTTTTTTAAGTTTAATTTATAAAGTTTAAATTTTGTAATTGGAAACGATTAGGTAATAATCATTAATTAAAATTAAACTATATTTACTACTCTAATCATAAATTGAAAAGCTTACAATTCAGAGAACCCCCAGTATTTTTAAAATATTTTTTGTATCTTTTTTTTTTTTTAAATACGGATGCCCATTCACTACATTATCAGAAAATAAGCGCGATAACTATAGTATATTTATCGGCAATTTTCTAAAATTTCCTTAACAAGCGTCTTAAGACTATAAGGCTAAAGTACCTAAAATTCAATATTAGATTACTACTTGGAATATTTTCCTAAATCTTAAAGATTACTGTGTAGTTAAACAATTATATTAAAAAAAGCGTTCAGTTTGTATTTAAATAATTTTTAATTATGTGCCCTACTTATGAATGCCAAACAATTAATAAATCTTAACATCTGATAAAAAAATACTCACCTGCATGTTAAAAAAAAAATGATTTTCTGCGTTATTTTTAAAAGTAACATTTTTTGTTTTAATTAAAGTTAAGCTTTAAATCGGTTATCTTTCTCAAATAAAATTTCAAAAATTTTTTGAAAGATTTTTTACTCAAGAGAATTGTGTTGACAGATTTGTCAATATGGCTGATTTAACAATTAAAAAACAAAACATTTTCCAATCAATTTAAACTTGGTTTTGAAATACAGCAAAGTATTTTGCTTATTGGAAATTAACTTGGAATTAAAACAAAAATATATTTACGGAAGATTTTTCATTTTTAAAATGCATTATTTTTAACCTTAGGACCTAGGTATAGCTTTCATTTTTTTTTTTTTTTTTTTTGGGGAGGGGCTAAAGTTAAAGAATCGGTACTCTACAAACGTGTGGACATAAAAAATATTACGTATGTTCCGTGACAAGGCAATTGCAAAAAAAAAAGTGATAGAAAAAAATATCAGAATAAAACATCATCCCATTGTTATATGCGACACATGGCCTTTTTTCCTCTTTAGTCTACACTACAGTGAGTGGACCCTATGTGTACGTGGGCAGGAATATTGCTGTAGGCATTAAGGAACAGTTATGATGACACTAGACTACACTAACTAATGCAATGGGGAGACTGATCCTCAGGTATTAGTAATTAAACATATTTCATTCAATATCTCATGAATAGTTTGAGTAAAATTTTTACTAACAGAATAGTCAAGTTCGGTCATTGGGTGCCCGATACTTAAATTAAATGTTGGTCACCCAGGGGCAAAATTTCAAAATCAAAGGGTAACCCCTAATTCATGAACAGGTGTAGTTAATCTCTCTAGACCATTTTACAACTGACTAAGTAAATCAGTCAATTAATTATAATTTCTTAGTTAAAATACTGGGACAGTGCGCAATTGAGCTCGTTAACGGAAAACACCGAACTAGTCTATAATTTTTAGTTACACTTTTCTTTTCACTTTTGGAAATCTTTTCCCCATATGCGTGTAACTCTTCGTGTAAAAAAAAAAAAAAAAAAAACACAAACTATGTTATATATAAATAATAAAACTAATTAACTTTGAAATAATATGTAAAAACACCGATGGGATAAAAAAGTCATAAATCCTGTTTTCCGAACAGAAGCATGACTTCGATTTCGAAATATATCACCGTCATATCACAAAATAAAAATATTTGATTTCCATTTCACTCAGTGTTTTGAATAAATAGACATCAACTGAACAGATATTGAATTTTTGTTTAAATCCTAATCTAACAAAACTCCATGAATTTTTCACTGACAAAAGCAAGGCAACACATTTTTCGAAAAGCATCTCGATAACTTGATGAGTGTCACTGAAACATCGCGCCGACGAGATTTCAGCTCAGAAAGAAGAGTTTTATTTTTCTTTGTTTTAAATATTTCTAAAATAAAAATATATTGCTGGTACAAAATTTATTTTTGAATAAAGATCAGTAGAATTTCTGAAAATTTTCATGCAAATAGCTACAACGAGAAAGCTTTTGTAATCTCGTTTGACCGAGATTCATTTACTACGATAACAAAAAAAAATAAAAAAAAAATAATAGAAAACAAGAGAAGAGTGCAGAAAAAGTAAAAACAAAATAACTAAATAGTTGCTGCTTGCAGCGAATGGAAATTGCAATCCATGTAAGTTTTTCTTTTTTGGTCCTTCTAGTTTTGACAGTTTGTATTATTAGCCCTTCTGAATTTGTTTAATCCTCTTCAAGACAACAATGTTGTCTGTATAAAACTGCATTCATCGTAATAATATTGCACGCTCATTTTCCTCGTCATCATGTGTTAAAAATCGTTTTACTCCTGCTCGTTTAAAAACACCGGATTCTCCAGTTTTAATAATTACAAGGCTTAAGAAAATATGTGTAAATAAGATATAACGTTCATATACGTTACATTCTTTTCTTAATGCTTAATTGCAAAAACTTTTTTTATCCTATGTTTATTTATGAACTTTTAGCACGTTAAAAATTGTCATTGTGAAGCCAAAAACAACTCTCAAAATATATTTTTAAAATGTCAACTTTTTACTTGTGATCAAAAATTCTTTGTTTATTGATGGCATTCGTGTTAAAGTCTAAATCGTACAAAATAATAATAACAACTTGAACATGGAGTTGAAAAGTGTGTTTGCTTTCGTGACGACCCTCTTGTAATCCGTATTGAAAAACCTACCCCCCCCAAACTCTTCACACCTCCCGCAAAAAAAAAAAAAAGCAAAAAAAGCACACGCTCTGGGCGATTTTTAAGCTTAGATTCTTCTTACCCTTTCCTCAAATGCAAATCTATCAAGATATTTTCCTATATTTCTTTTTTTTGTTTAATACAGTACACCAAAACATCGACACTAAAACTTACATGAAGGAAATCACCCTGTGAATATAACATGATAAAATGTCATAACTTATTAATTAATTAATGTAATGAAGTTTTAAAAAAAAAAAAAAAAAATTGTTTCACTTATCCACAAGAATTTTTCTTGTTTTCTTTTTCTTTGACTAAATTTTTTTTAACATCTAAGAATTTTTCTTAAAAAAAAAATAAGTAATGCTTAATAACCGATTTATATTCCTATATACATTTTTTCAGTAAAGTTTATTAATCTAAAAAAAAAAAAAAAAAAGTAAACCTCTGAAAAGAACAGACCCGATTTTTTTTTTTTTTTTTTTTTCGGATTCTAGTTTGATAATTAAATCTCCGTTCCCTTCATTTTTTTTCAAATTAGCAATTTTCATTATTCTACGTTAAAGAATTGTTCTTATCTCTCTTAGACTAAAAATCAATTTTCTGAGCCTTTTTTCGCTAATTTTGCCAACTTTATTGTACAATACATCGTTTTAGACTTTTTAGTAGTGTTTTTTTTTTAACTTTTTAACATCTTTTTATTTTAATTCATTTTATTT